TTATTTGGTTTATTATTATTGGTAAATATAATTAATTGATTTGTAAGAAATTGGATTGCATGGAAATAATTGGAATATTCATGTTCATATTGATTGATATACAAAAAAGATAGTTATATAACTAATTGATTTATATTAAAATGTTGAATTTGTATTAAACAACTGTATTATATAATTAACCAATGTGAGGATGGATATAAAAATAGATGACAATGGGAAGGGGTATAATATAGAATAGAAGGGAAAAATTGAATTTGATTAAGATTAAGGGTAATATTGGTTTTTTAAAAAAATAGATAAGGAATAAATATGGCAAAAAGAAAATATAGAAATTGTAAATTTAATTGAAATGACTAAACACTGGTTAAATTTGTGAACCATCCAAATACTCTTTAACCATCTTAATATCTTTATATTTGTTTGGGGTTGGTTCCCTTTCATCTTTTTTATTGTACAGCAATCTTTCTCCTCAAACCTACCACCTCTCTCTTTTCTTTCCTTCTTACTTTCTCTTCCCCCCTTCTTCTCCTTCCTACTTCCTCTTCCTTTCTCCTTCTCCTCCTCTCTTCCTCCCTCTCTTACCCTCACTCCTACTCTAATTTCCCTTCCCTTCCTTCATCCCTCTCTATTGCTGTATCCTTTTATGCATATGGACTACTCAGAGGGCTGAAAAAGTTATTTTTGACTGGTCCTCGCACTTTTGACCAGTCCTCGAACTTACGACTGTCCTCACATTTTACGTTTTTGCCCTATCTTGTCACCATGGTGAAGAGAAGCAGTTGTGAAATGAGTGACACGGTTGTTAAGAATGCTACAATGGGCATGATGACCAGTCATAAGTGCAAAGACCGGTCAAAAGTGCGAGGACCTGTCAGAAATGACTTTTTTCAGCCCTCTGGGTAGTCCTTTTATGCACATGGACTACTCAGAGGGCTGAAAAAGTTATTTTTGACTGGTCCTTGCACTTTTGACCAGTCCTCGAATTTACGACTGTCCTCACATTTTACGTTTTTTGCCCTATCTTATCACCATGGTGAAGAGAAGCAGTTGTGAAATGAGTGACATGGTTGTTAAGAATGCTGCACGGGCATAAATGTGAGGATGGTCATAAGTGTGAGGACTAGTCAAAAGTGTGAGGACCTGTCAGAAATGACTTTTTTCAGCCCTCTGAGTAGTCCCTATACACATAGCCATGGCCACCCGGTCACATGACCAGCTAGCCACGCCCACCCAGTCACATGACCTCCAAGCCATGCCCACAAAATAAGCCACACCCACAGAACCGATAGTAAAAAATTTTAGAACCCACCCCTGGTTGGGGGTCACCACAACATGAGGAACTGTATTAATGGGTCGCAGCATTAGGAAGGTTGAGAACCACTGACCTAGAGTTTTTGCTTGAGGCACAAATGACCAAGCTCGAATTGTCCTACTTCAGGCACATTATGAAAAAGTTAGTTCTCTGGAGAAGTCTATAATGCTGAGAAAGGTGGAAGGAGAAGGACAACTAGCAATAAGGTGCAGAGATGGGTTTCACATATTTTTACCACTGGTTTGCCGCACACCAAAAATGTGAGCATACACACACACATGCTCGATCTGTGTTTGCACCTTCCACGCATGTGCCTGGCCTTCCATACATGCTCTGTGCTCTCACACACGGCTTGTATGCATGAGTGCAGCTTTGAAAACATGGCTAAATAGGACAGCATTAGTAGTAGTGCGTGTCGAGCCCTGCCCAGGGCTCGCTATCTCAGGGACGCTGGGGTGTTTGGGGCTGGACGAGGCGCTCACCTGGCCTCCCGGCACAGCGGCATCGGGTCTGTGCAGGAGCTGGAGATTCAGGCGGTGCAGCCGCTGAAGAATCAGGCGATGCAGCCAAAACCTACCAGCGCTGTCCTATGACGTCAGAGCTGCGACACCGGTCGGCATTGAACTCACCAGCTGATGTGGGAGGGGAGAGTTTTGAAATTAGTTTGCCAGATGGTGGTTAGGGAATGGGGAAAAATATAAATAGCGCTGCATGGCGGCTGCGTGCAGCGCTGACTTAAACTGTGTGTTCCGGCCCGTTTTGTTCTTCTTGCTGTGCTGCTGCTTATCTGGAATAAAAGATTGTTAAAGGACGCTGCTTCTGATGATTTCTTGGTGGACACGGTCTGGATGACAGATGGAGCCGCAAGTGCGATTGCCAATACCGGTTTGCCTGAACCGGTCTGAACCAGCTGAATAGCACCACTGATAAGGTGGATGGACTTAATTGTAGTGGTGATGGGTGCCCCACTGGAAGACCTGAAGGACCAGGTTAGAGACAGAGCTTCATGGACAAAGCATATGTGATCACTAAGTCACTGTCTTGATGGCACAAGATCAGTTTTAAATACAGGTAGTCCTCGACTGATGACCACAATTGAGGCCAAAATCTATGTTGCTATGTGAGACATTTGTTAAGTGAGTTTTGCCCTATTTTACAACTTTTCTTGCCACAGTTGTTAAACGAATCATTGCAGTTAAGTAACCTGGTTGTTAAGTAAATCTGGCTTCTGCATTGACTTTGCTTGCCGGAGAATCACAAAAGCTGACCCTAAGACCCTGCAATCGTCAAAAATATGAGTCAGTTGTCAAGCTTCTGAATTTTGATCACAGGACCATGGGGATGCTGCAATGGTCACAAGTGTGAAAAACGGTCATAAGTCACTTTTTCCAGTGCCATTGTAGTTTTGACCGGTTAGTAAATGAACTGTTGTAAGTCAAGGACTACATATATACTTATCTATATTTAATATTGATATGCTTATCTTCTCCCCATCTATTTTTCACTGTGTTCATTTTTTAAATCACATATTTATTTGCTTCAGTATTTTTATTGTCGATGAAAAATGTTAAGTTTAAGAAAGTAGCCAGAAGTAAGATATCACCTATGATTGTGAAGATACTGGGAACTAATTGTCTCTATTGCATTGGCCCAACCCAGTGATTCCTACTTCTGCTCCTCTCTTTCTGAAGGAGAGAACAGTATGTTTAGAATCAGTAGCGGTAAGTTATCACAGATCTAAGAGAAGCATCCTGTCATTTCCCCTGAGTCTTCACGCCGCCCGGTTTCGGGTCGACGTTCAGGGCTCAGGACCCCGGACAGCACCCCAGTATTCGGGGAGCTGGTTGGATTTTAAAGGAGATTCAGGTTAATGTCAGGGTTCTAAGTAACACTCCCAATGAAAGAAGACTCCGAGGCTTGAGTTTCCTCAAAGTTCCATTTTATTAGAGATGTCATATTGGTACATCTGGGAAAACCCGAATCTGAAAGCTTCCAGGTTTTCCCCACCCAAAGGAAAGTCCAAGTCCTTGTCCAGCACTCACATGTCCATCACATGGTCCAATCCAAGCACAGTCCCAACTGGAGATGCCTCCCAGTTCTAGCCATCCAGGTGCAGGGCAAGATGTCCTTGTCTTTCTGAGAAAGGAATGTTATTATGACTACATATCACCCTTGCTCCATACAATCCCCCCTCCCAGTTTCCCACAGAAGTAAATGTGGCAGGCCTGAAGGCCCAATGCAAAAGATGGCTTCCAGGCCTGACACATCCATTTCTGTCAAGGAGTAGGGGCACATGCATTCAGATGTTCTTCCTTTCCCCAAGATATTTTCCTAGTTTTTAGGCTGAGAAGATTGCACAAATGTGATTTATTTATTTATTTATTTATTCATTCATCCATACTACATGGAATTGCTTTATTAATTACCTGTCTATCTCTAACAAGTGATGCAATTTTCATGGGTATCATTGAAAGCTGTGTTAAGAGCAGATCTAACAGACATTCCATGTATGCTTAGGGATAGACAAGAAATCCATTGCTACAAATGGTATAAGTTGCTAATACAGATTGTATCACAGTAGCTTGGGGCAATAATGCCAGAGTCTTAATACAAAGCAATACACATTTTGGAAAAAATACTTCAAAAATGGATCATTAAAAACGGTGAAGCTATGTTAAAATGTTGTATATCACCCATAACTATGTATCACAAACTAAACATTAGTTTCTTAAAATAGTGTTAATTAGGAAAACCAACAATCAAAATGAATTATGAGAGGAAACTAATCATATTGATGCTACCAATAAAAGTTATTTCCAATTTTTAGAATGGTTCATAGAATACTTAATGGAATGGGATAATGAGTCATTGCAGTCAGTATTGATATGTGCCAGCAGCAGTGTGATCTGTAGGTAGATAGACAGATCCATTTGCAATTCAGCTGTTTTTGTTCATCAGGCTTGCTGAAATTTCATCAACAATCCTTTTGAGCCAATAAAAAAAAATCTGGTGGGTAAACTTGGATGTTCTAGATGCATATAATATCAGCCAAGCACTACAAATCAGTCAAATTAATAATTATGAACTTCATTGTCCCTATTATGTAGGACAATTATTTTATCCCCTACTAACTGGACGCTCGTGCTTCGCTACGAAACTATGTGCTCAGGCTTGATAAATTGACACTTAAAGCCTGAAACTTAATGTAGAATGTGTACTTCCATAGCATCAGAGCATGGTAATGTAAGGCAACTGGCAGTTGGAACAGAGGGGGAGGGGGAGTAGAATGTCCCAGCCCGCAGGCCAGATGAGTCAAACGCTGGCCACGCCCATGCCCAGTTTAGCGAAGGGATAGCATCAGAGCGTGATAATATAAGGCAACTGGCAGTTGGGACAGAGTTCTTTTCAGGTGGGGAGGGGGAGTAGAACGTCTAACTCCTTAGCATCAGAGCGTGTGAATATAATACTGTATATGAAGTACTAATGATCTGATGGTCATTTCGAAAAATCCTTTGCAAGCACCTAGAAGCCAAGAAGAACATATGTGCCAAATTTCAAGTTTGTAAGCTTTACTGTTCTGGAGATTTTGTGATGAGTGAGTAGTATTTGACTTTTATATATATAGATATATAGTAGCTCATTCCTAAATGTTATTTCAGAGAACATTTTATCTTTTGTGCTTTAACAGTGCCTGTCTCCTAGAATTTATGGTGATTACGGTGATCTGCCAAGAAACATACAGGCTAATGGAATTAAAGGCTTGGAGAGGTAGGAACTTGAAGGTACAGTTATATTAGGACCCTCTTGTGAAAGTCTGATTTATCCCAAAGACATATTTCAGACAGCATTTGATTTTCTTTAAATAGCCTGCTGCCAAATGAATTCAAAACCTAAGCAATAAACCCAAGGAAACGTCTGTTAGTGAAATGATGTATAAAGACATTCATTTATTAGAAATGAAGAGGCAATCTACACTAAGGTGACAATTACAGGCAAGGGTTGTTGTATGGAAAAGAAAATCAAAAGGCATTTCTACTCCAGGGGGAAAGGATGGAAGTGGGAAGGGAGGGAGGGTTCAAATGCTAAAGGAGAAAAAGGATGTTAGAAGTGAATGTTCTAATTTACAATTTCCTGGAGCAAGAAATAAGAGTCTTAACACTGTTCAAAGGCAGCTTTTTTCTGACTGGCGACCTCCAAATTTGTTTGGGATATAAATCCTAGAATTTTCAGTGATTATGGTCAAATGTCATACTAGATACAGTACTGGGACTGAGGTCAAACACATCTGTAGGGTGCCAAGTTGTAGAAGACTGTTCTAGAGACGTTTTGTCTCTAGGACAAATACCTAAATGTTTGACAACTACATTTGTCAAAATACAAACTACATTTTAGAAGCCAAGAATTATGTCTGGCCAGGAGCTGCACTCAAAAAAGCTGATAGGATCAAGGCAAAAAGAAAGCAAAATAAATTCCACTTAATTTTAATAAAATTGCAATTATTTAAAAACAGTAATCTGATTTCTTCTTCTTATGAATGTAATGTTTTCCTTTGTTGGTCATATAAAATATTACAGGTTAATGTTCATTTCTGAAAGACCTTTGGTAGCACAGATCCTGTTCTGAGCAATGAGCTTTACTGCTGGAACAGTCATCCAGATAATTTCAGTCTCAAATCTGTTTTATATGAATATAAAAGGTTTGCTTCTTTCTTTAATAAGAGCAAGATCAATGTAAGATAAGGATCAGTTTAGTTGATCACACTTGAAATAGTGCAATGTTTACCGTTGCTGCAATATAAAAAATATGTTGAGACCAGTGGTGGGGTTAACATTATGTTACTACTGGTTCACCCCACACGTGCATGCTTGCTTCGTGCACATGTGCACCTGGTTTGCATGCGCTCCTACCTTCCATGCATACACCTGGCCTTCCGTGCATGTGATTTGCTTGTGTGTGCACCTTCCACGCATAAGCCCAACTTCAAAAACATGCCTATATAGGATGGCATAGAGCCGGGGCAGATGGGCAGGCCCACCTGCGATTTCCGTTACTGGTTCAGGCAAACCGGTCCGAACCGGCTGAATATCACTTCTGGTTGAGACCAGGGGTGGGTTCTACTTACCTTTACTACCAGTTCGCAATGGAGCCACGTGCACACACTCACTTTGCTCTTGTGTGCGTGCGCTCTTCTGTGCATGCGCAGAAGCGTTCTGATGACGTCGGTGTTGGTGGGCGGAGCCTCTCTCTGATTTTACTACTGGTTCTATAGAACCGGTCCGAACCGGGGGCAACCCACATTGGTTGAGAATCTAGAAAGAGTGCAGAGAAGAGCAACAAAGATGATTAAGGGAATGGAGGCTAAAACATATGAAGATTGGGTTCCAGGAATTAGGCATGTCTAGTTTAATGAAAAGAAGGACTAAGGATGACATCATAGCAATATTCCAATATCTAAGGGGTTTCCCATAAAGAAAAGGGGGTCAACCTATTTTCTAAAGCATCTGAAGGCAGGGCAAGAAGCAATGGATGAAAACTAATTAAGGAGAGCCTAGAACTCAGGAGAAATTTCCTGACAGTGAGAACAATTAACCAGTGAATCCCTCTGGAGGTTCTGGGTGCTCAAACACTGGAGGTTTTTAAGAAGAGATTGGACAACCATTTGTCTGAAATGGTATAGGTCTCAAGTTTCAAGTTTCCTGCTTGAGCAGGGGGTTGGACTAGAAGACCTCCAAGGTCCTACTTAGAAATTCTTGGCTGTGATGAGCAAATCCATAGGGGAAGAATAAGGGTTACTCCCCCCCCACACAATATACTTGGTTGTTTAGAGACAACCTTAAGTGCTTTACAATCTGGGTCTTGTCTATATTCCACTAAATATAATTGGCTTTTACTAGGGAATATGGGGGGCAAAGCACAGTTAACCTCATGCCCCTAGGTCTGGATACTGAGAGCCTCTACAAAAAAGAACTTGGATTCCATTGTATTGATTTAAGGGAGCAAATTTTTCCTACAATCCTTTGAGCCAATGGCATTTTTAAACATGGTTTTGAATATTGTGCCACAGTAATAATTCGGGGAAGTAGGGATTCAAGGGAAATCCCTCAAACTAAAGGAATAAAGAGTCTAACCCAATTTCACAAGATCTCACAAGATCTCAATGGAGCTCACCCCGTTACGTAGCATTAGGGATTCGAACCGCTGAACTGCCAACCTTTCGATTGACAAGCTTGGCGTCTTAGCAGTGTTTATGTTTATGTTCTAATTTATCTTGGAAAACAGACCTTTCACTGTACAAGAGTATCTTCAGATGTAGAGATTGTAATATGAATATATATCTGAATGTAAATGTCACAGAATTCTGTAGCATTCTTAGATAAAAATGTAGAAAATTGCACAGAAAAATATCCATCCTGAGTGAAATTGAATAATACTATTAATTTTCAAGATGTTTTATCCTATATTATATTTGATAATATAAAAACCTTAACTAAGCTGCAACAGAGAGAAAATGATATGACCGGATAGAACATTTTTGTTCTATGCAATCTAAATTATTGATTCAGTTGACATTCATTGAAATCATGGAATTAGCTGCCAAAAGACAAATATTTTATAATAGTTTTTCTCTTTAACTATATAGAATAAAATAGAATTAGAATTAGAATTAGAATAGAATACTTTATTTGGCCAAGTGTTTAGACATTAGACATAATCATGAAATTAGTATAATGATTTTCATTTTATGTTTTTTTCAAAGTTCATTTGGCAGAAACTATTTTTCCCAAAGTTTTACTTACCACTTCACACAATAATATGTGAATAATTTCAGTTTGTTTGGATATAAAAATCTCTTAACTGCAGATTTTTCTTCATTTGTAAGTTCCAGTTACGTCATATCGTCACCGCTACTGGCTCAGCCGAACCGGACCAAACCGGGAGGAACCCACCAGTGCTGTAAAGTGATATATAAGTCTAAGTGCTATTGCTATTTTATTTGGGCAAAAATTATTCTTGTGCATTAAAATTTCTCTTTTTATGCAACATAATTGGAGAGGTTAAATTGAATGCATTCTGGGTTTCTCCTAAAGCACTTTTACTCTTGGTGGAGGAGGAAAAAGCGGAGGGTAGAGAGAAATAGCCAAGAGTAAACAAAAAGACTCCAAAATGCAAGACAAACAGTATTTTTATTGCTTATTCAAACAAATGAATGTATTTTAAAATGCAATGGAGTCAGAATATACACTAGGTGATATTTATAGTGTAATTAACAACTAATTGCTCTCATTATTTTCAAATTGCTAATTCTATTATTTTCTTTCTAATTTTTGCCTGTGTGGGATTAGATTGATGGAACAAACTAAAAGCAACTTTAAAGAAATAAGTAATTCTAACAAATACTTTATTTCTATCAGGTTGTGTGCCCAGTGTTGATGATTTGATAATTTTATATTTGTCAAAAGCCTCCTCCTCCATTCATATGCCTTTGAATGAAGGAACAGGAATGGGCAAAGCCAAATGATTTGACTGAGAATTTTATTTTATTAGTCGTGTTGTTTGCTAATGTATTCATGCTTCAGCAGGTGGCAGCGTCTACCTGTCTGGGCTTGGGGTGTCCAAGAAGCCACCAGAAGTCAAGCTGGACTCAAAGCTAACTTTTAATTTAATGTTATTTTTATTTATTTTTAGAATAGTAGAACCGATATGATGAAATGATGAAAACAGACATAGAAAATAGAGTCGTGCGTATCAGCTTTTATTTTATTTTTTGGGGTCTGGGTGCCAAATTGCATGTTCACTTAAATTCTACTGTCAGTAGCATTTGAAGAAATTAGTCATATATATAGCCCCAGGGGCTATCTTCAGACTCATTTGCCTCTTCTGATTGCTCTTGAAAGATGACATGCTCTTTCTCAATCCTGAGGCAAAAATGGTTGAGAGGGATTCAGGGATTCAGGCCCGGGGTACTTGCAGGACCATCTCCAGCCGCTCTCCCACCGTCCTGTGCGCTCTTACAGAGTCGGCCTCCTTAGGGTGCCGTCGGCCAAACAATGTCAGCTGACGGCCCCCAGGAAGAGAGCGTTCTCTGTGAGAGCCCCGTCCCTCTGGAATGGATTGCCCACCGAGCTCAGGACAGCCCCCGACTTTCTTTCCTTCCGTCGTGAGCTGAAGACGTGGCTCTTCCGTCAACTCAACTGATCCATTTGGGGGTACACTGTCATAATTTTAAACTGTTTTTAATAGGGTTGCTGATTTTAATTTTATTTCATTGTGATTTGTATTGGAATTTGTCGTTTTGTAAGCCGCCTTGAGTCCCCAGGGAGAAAGGCGGCATATAAATCGCAATAATAAATAAATAAAAGACTCCCTTTTTAGGAGTCTTTGGCGCAGTGGTCTCCAATCTCCAGGAACACCTTGAAGAGACATAATAATGATAGAATAGGTAGAATTAGTGGGACATAATAGTAGAGTCAGTAGAATTGGTTTGACTTGCTGTTTTGCTTCTGTAAGAATTGCTTTGCTAAGAATTGAAATTGCCTCTGCCATTTGCTTCTATCAGTGATCTAACTTCTGTTATTTTGGTTTTTTTGTACAACTCTGTGCCTGGTAGATATATCAAGAAGCAGGGTATGTCATGGTTTGGCAGAGTTATATCAGGCAAATACCTGTGTTGCTAAGCACCCAGCCCCTCTGTTGCTAAGCACTCAACCCCCCTGTTCCTTCCTGCACTGCCAAAGGAAGGCATGGGCCTGAGGGCTAGAATTGGGTACTAAGCTGATGGCTCTGAAGGTATAAAAGGATGCCATACCTTCCCCAAGGTGTAGCCTTTCACTGCATGCTCTTTGTCTGTAAGTTGTGGTATGGTCTACCCAGTTCTTCTTTGTACAAATTAAAGCCGATATTTTTCCAAGCATCTTCTTGGGTCTCTCTCTTTGGCATTCTGGTGACTCAAGTACATTTTGGGACCTTACAACTTCATCAAAGATGATGAGTGCCAGCTCAGGATTAGCAAGTTTGACACCTAAAACATTCATTCAGCTGCATTAGGCCTCAGGTAATAAATTATTCTTAGGATTGCTAGTTTAGGCAATCCATCTGTCTGCAAATGTGGGTGTTCCATCATTGGAGGTTTTCAAGAAGAGATTAAACAACCATTTGACCAGAATGGTATAGGGTTTCCTGCTTGAGCAGGGGGTTGGACTAGAAGACCTCCAAGGTTCCTTCCAATTCTGTTATTCTGTATTCCTATTACTCATTCTTGTTCTAGGTGCTGGATCATTGAGTGGCATCTTAATTCAGGAGGTTCTTGGTTGAGGCAGAACATCTAGATTTCAGTCATCAGATCTGGTTGGGGTGAAAGGACTATTGATTAGAATAGAATAGAATAACAGAGTTGGAAGGGACCTTGGACGTCTTCTAGTCCAACCCCCTGCTTAGGCAGGAAACCCTACATCACTTCAGACAAATGGTTATCCAACATCTTCTTAAAAACTTCCAGTGTTGCAGTATTCACAACTTCTGGAGGCAAGTTGTTCCACTGATTAATTGTTCTAACTATCAGGAGATTTCTCCTTAGTTCTTAGTTGCTTCTCTCCTTGATTAGTTTCCACCCATTGCTTCTTGTCCTGCCCTCAGGTGCTTTGGAGAATAGCTTGACTCCCTCTTCTTTGTGGCAGCCCCTGAGATATTGGAAGACTGCTATCATGTCTCCCCTAGTCCATCTTTTCATTAAGCTAGACATACCCAGTTCTTGCAACAGTCCTTCATATGGTTTAAACTCCAGTCCCTTAATCATCTTTGTTGCTCTTCCCTGCACTCTTTCTAGAGTCTCCACATCTTTTTTACATCATGGCGACCAATGCAGTTTTCCAAGTGTGGCCTTACCAAGGCATTATAAAGTAGTATTAACACTTCAAGTGATCTTGATTCTATCCCTCTGTTTATGCAGCCTAGAACTGTGTTGGCTTTTTTGGTAGCTGCTGTGCACTGCTGGCTCATATTTAAATGATTGTCCACTAGGACTCCAAGATCTCTCTCAGAGTTACTACTACTACCTATACTGTACCTGTGCATTTTGTTTTTCTTGCCTAAACATAGAACCTTACTTTTTTTCACCATTGAATTTCATTTTGTTAGATAGCACCCAATGATCAAGTTTGTCAAGAGCCTTCTGTATCGTGAGCCTATATTCTGGAGTGTTGGCTATTCCTGCCACCTTGGTGTCATCTGTAAATTTGATGAGTTCCCCATTTATTCCCTCGTCCAAGTCATTGTTTGTGAGTGATTAGTTTGTGATTAGTTTGTGAGAGGATCTGTTCCAGGCAGTGGAGTCAAGAATCAGGTGAGAAAAGGCTAGAGTAAAATTCATTATTGGCCTGGAGTAGGTAGAATGCATGAGAAATGAAAAGGAAGATATACAAGAGATAAGGAAGGCAGCCCCACTGACATCTCAGTCTCACTCATGGGCAGATCAGGAATTTTCTAGACCTTTTGCCTTCTCATGAAGAGATGAGAACAATTTCAGGTCTCCAGCTGAAGCTTAGATTAATACTGAGTGCATTATTCAGAACATACTGCTTAGCTTTCAGCAATGCTCAGGGATCTCACTTTATTAATTTATTTTATGTATTTCACTTTACTATTTTTAAAACAGAATTGACATATTTGTGGTATTGTGAAGAGAAATAACCAAAACACTTCATCGAGAAGTATAGACAATACAGCACAGACTGGCATACTTAGGAAATTAAAAATGGCTTCCTGTCTATAGAATACAATAGTATGTGATTAATTTCAGTCTGCTTAAATATCAAAATCTCTAACTGCACAATTTTCTTCTTGTATTATGTATGGGATTTATCAGTACATAAGGAGGCTGTGAGAATTGCCCTCCAAAGCTGTAAATAGATTTCAGAGGCTAAGGTCCATGCTCTCTCGTACACGCATACAAATCACAACACAGATGTGCTCCAGAAACTATTTATACCATGCCCTCACTTCATCTATCTAACTCAGAGATGAGGTGGCTTGAAGTTATTCTTAAGTATTTCAATTTTAAAATAGTGTTCTTCCTCTTCTCTGGACAAAATTTTGGTCGTGGATCCAATTTAGGTTGACACTATAGTTGATGACAAAGGGATCCCCAGATTTCCTACTGATTCATTTTAGCTACTGCAAGTATATCCTTTCGTTTTTGATCTCTGGAAACTGTTGTCAGTTGCCATTTTGGCTTAGGCTGCAAGAGGACTGTATACCTGGTCTCTTCAGAAGCGCAAAAGGATTTTGGTCATCACGATGTAAAAAAGATGTGGAGACTCTAGAAAGAGTGCAGAGAAGAGCAACAAAGATGATTAGTGGACTGGAGGCTAAAACATATGAAGAACCATTGCAAGAACTGGGCATGTCTAATTTAATGAAAAGAACTAGGGGTGACATGATAGAAGTCTTCCAATATCTCAAGGGCTGCCACAAAGAAGAGGCAGTCAAGCTATTCTCCAAAGCACCTGAGGGCAGGACAAGAAGCAATGGGTGGAAACTAATCAAGGAGAGAAGCAACTTAGAACTAAGGAGAAATTTCCTGACAGTGAGAACAATTAATCAGTGAAACAACTTGCTGCCAGAAGTTGTGAATGCTCCAACACTGGACGTTTTTAAGAAGGTGTTGGCTAACCATTTGTCTAAAGTGGTCTAGGGTTTCCTGCCTAAGCTATTCTATTCTATAGCTATTCTACTCTACTCTACTCTACTCTACTCTACTCTACTCTACTCTACTCTCTACTTACTCTACTTCTATTCTATTCTATTCTATTCTATTCTATCTATTCTATTCTATTCTATTCTATTCTATTCTATTCTATTCTATTCTATTCTATTCTTTCCCCTCTGTAAATACCAAAGTGCTTCTCAGTTTTTGTACCAGGGTCTTCATTATAGTGGTTTAAAAAAGAGCATTACATGTTAGACCTGACTATGTTGCTAAGTGGCATGGTCATGTGATGCCACACTTTATTATTGCATCACTTAGTGATGACAGTTCTGGTCCCAACTGCCATCCTTAACCAAGGACTACCTTTATGGAGATGGGCTATATAATAAGCTTGATTGCACTGTACTTCCTTCTCATATGCTGGTGAATCGAAGAGGTATTTGTCCAAACTGTTTCTAAACATGAACTTGTTTCAGCCTCCTTTTCCTAGAGAATAGTTCTTAGATATTTCTCTCATGGTCCTCTTCCTTACTGTCCCAGAGAGAAGCACAAGAAATCTTGGATTTAGAAGATAAAAGTTAGGCAAGAACATTGATGTAAGCTGGCTCACCTTTGTTAATGACCAGGAGCTGATGGGATCTAGTCTTTGTTTCAAGCATAGACTCTAGAACCAGCGCATCACAGACAGCTCTTCTAATCCTGGCAGAATTGGATGTGGGTAACATCCATTTTAAATTTGCTGGCAACTTGTCTCCCCATAGCATTAAGTGATTCAGTTATGGGAAGGATTGTCTTTATACAATGCATGGTTTATTTGCAGTGATGGTTCTAACTTTATTACTGGACATATAATTTCCGTTCCATTTCCTTATAGAATTCATCTAATAACATCAAAGAAAACCTGGTATAGACACAATTAGAAACATAATGTAGCATCCTTTGTTATTAAGACAGCGTTTGGTTCTTTTTTCTTTTTTTAACTCAAAAGTCCTATAGCAGTGATGGCTAACCTTTTTGCCATCATGTGCCAGAAGGAGGGGAGCGCAGGGGGAGTCACACATGCATGTGCCCACACCCATAATTCTATGTGCCCCACCCCCGCGCATGCGTGTGTGACCTCCCCGTGCTCCCCCCACTTTTGGCACGTGATGGCCCAGTGTGCCCGGTAGGCCTGTTTTTTGCTCTCCCCAGGCTCCAGAGCCTGTCTAGGAGCCTGGGTAGGGTGAAAACGGCCTTCCCCACCACCCGGAGGCCCTCTGGAGGCCGGAAATGGCCCGTTTGCTGACTTCCGGTCCCACTTCCCAATTCCGGGCGGGTGGGTGGGCCCAGCCGCTGGCAGTAACTACCGGTTCACCTGAACTGGTCTGAACTGGCTAAATCCCACCCCTGTGTGGCAGACAATTTAAAATAGGGATGTTCAATCTTAGCAATTTTAAGACTGGTGGACTTCCTCAGCCAGCTCACAATTCTGTGAATTGAAGTTCATGAGTCTTAAAGTTGCCAAGGTTGGACAGTCCTGCTTTAAAGGGTCAAATCACTATGAAAATCCCCTGATTTCTTTGTTGGGAAAAAGTGAGGTCCATGTTTAAAAGAACTTGAACTTTAAAAAGCCAGGAAGAATTCTGCTTCTTTCAACACCTGAGTTTCTTACCAAATATTGCTCACAGCAGCAACTTCTAAGAAGCTTCAGAGGAAGTAATTTTTCTTTCAGCTATTGCCCTAGCAACAGCTAAGGCTAATGAGTGTGTTGCCAAGCATTTGAAGACAGCTCCATTGTCCAAGAGTACTGTGGAAAAATTACACTCATCAAAGCAACCCCATCTTTCTTGCTGATTTCTGTACATTGTAGCTTTTCAGCTGCATCAATATGCCAAATGTGAACCCTACCAGGTGCCTTAAGTTAACTTTTCCTGGCACCAAGTTTAAGTGCAAGTGCTTTTGAAGAAACAATGAGTTGCCAGATTAGACTGGGCATGCACTGTTGATCTGACAAATGGGAGCAATTTTCAACTGCCACATTTGAAGTACAATCTGTTAGATGTGCAAGAGTTGGATCTGAAGCTGCTGCCATGCTTAGGTATCATTTGGTTACATACAGCTTGTACTGCATTTAGCCATTGTACAGGGAAGCAACTGGGGCTCTCCAGATAATTTAGAAGACCACTCCCATAATTCCATGCTATTAGAGGATTGGGCAAGGGAGGGGGGTTGCTAGGGTTTGTTTGTTTATATTCCATCTTTAATATTTTTACAAATAACTCAAGGCAGTGAACATATACAACACACCTTCTTCTTCCTATTTTCCCTACAACATCAACTCTGTAAGTGGACAGGGCTGAGAGTGAGTGGTTGGCCCAAAGTCACCCAGCTGGATTTGTGGCTAAAGCGGGACTTGAACTCACCGTCTCCTGCTTTCGAACCTGGTCCTTTAACCACTAGACCAAACTGGCTCATTAATTATGTTATCTGTGAGCTGTGCCTTTTCACATAAACAAGTTGAGATGCTCAGCAATGAACTTGGTGTACCGTTTAAAGGAGAACAACATATTTACATCAGAAGTGGGTTTTAGAAGGTTCTGACCAGTTCTAGAGAACCAGTAGTGGAAATTTTGAGTAGTTCGGAGAACTGATAGTAAAAATTCTGACTGGCCCCGCCCCCATCTATTCTCTGACTCCCAAGACCCAGCTGATAAGGGAGGAAATGTGGATTTTGCAGTAAACTTTCCCTGGGGAGGGGTGGGAATGGAGATTTTACAGTATCCTTCCCCTGCCATGCCCACCAAGCCACGCCCACCAAGCCATGTCATGCCCACCAAGCCACATCCACAGAACCGGTAATAAAAATTTTTGAAACCCACCACTGACCGTTAAATACCACTTCTGACTGGCCTCAGCTCCATCTATTCTCTGCCACTCAAGTCCCAGCTGATAAGGGAGGAAATGAGAATTTTGCAGTAACCTTCCCCTGGAGTGGGGAGGGAATGGAGATTTTACAGTATCCTTCCCCTGCCACACCCACCAAGACAAGACAAGCCAAGCCCACCAAGCCACGCCCACAGAACCGGTAGTAAAAAATTTTGAATCCCACCACTGATTTACATCATCTTGTAAGATTCTCAGTAAGGCCCATTCTTCCTCACTCCCACCCGCTAACAGAATCTGAATGCGGAACAGCTGGGCACACAGAATCAGAGCAAAGTTTTTGATTTTCAGGTACAAGTTAATTGATTGCCTTACCGCCAGCGCTAATTGTGTGCTTGACAGTTTACCTCATTAGTGAGCATAGCAGGTACTGCCTTTTTGGCGCTTGGCGCTGGTAAAGAAGAGTTTGGTCACTGACAGCAGCGTAAGGGCTGAGGCTAAGCTCATATCACTGACAGCGCCGCCATTTTATTTCGCTCTTATATCGGTCGCCATTTTAATGGTGTCTGCCTAACGGAAACAACCTGCTATCCTGAAGTACTTCACAGCCTCAAAAGCAAAGCGTTGTGTGGCAGACATCGTTCTGTCCGGTCTACCCTTCACCTCCGGTGTTTGACCAAAGACCTTGGATTCAGGGAAGTGACAATACTTTATACTTTCATTTGTCTTAATTGTATTTCAGTATGGCTGATTCAGCTCTGTCTTCAGACATCGAGCAAGAGGTTTCCCACCCCAGAGCTCCATCTCCCAATCACTTAGTGACCATTTGAAGTTCCAACCCATCCTCCCAAAGGTACTTATGATCTGGTTCTGGATTTCCAACAGTCGCCTCCCCTGCAGTCACATGCCTGCATGTTGGAAACTTGGCAACCGGCTTTCATTTATAGCCTTTTGCAGTGTCCCACGATTGATTATTTATTTATTTATTTATTTATTTATTTATTTATTTATTTATTTATTTAAAATTTATATACCGCCCTTCTCCCTGAGGACTCAGGGTGATGTACAGCCAGAATTAAAAAACATAAAATACAAATATTAAAAAACAATTAATATATATATAAATTTGGCCCAAAATTAAAATACAAACCAATTAAAACATTTAAAATTTCTTTTTAAGCCAGCCCGGCTTGCTGGAAAAAGTGGGTTTTAAGGGCACGGCGGAAGGCACTAAGGTCTTGGATTCTCCTTATCTCTGGGGGCAACTGATTCCAGAGGGTAGGTGCCCCCACAGAGAAGGCCCTCCCCCTGGGGGTCACCAGCCTACATTGATTGGCTGATGGCACCCTGAGGAGGCCCTCTCTGTGGGAGCGCACGGGACGATGTGTTGTACGATGTTTTTTTGTGGAAAACATTTAGTCCATTTTTTGGCAAACACGTCTCACAATTAACAATGGAGTCACTTTGCAATCATGGTTGTTTGCATGATCAATCACATGGGTGACCTATTTCATGACTGCCATGACTATAATGGGCAGGCTTCATTATGGTCATTAATCAAGAACTACCTCTACCTATGAGCAATTCTTACCTGCATTTTGTGTTTACTGGAATAATGTTGTTCTTATAATTTATAAAACAAAGTGAAAAGCCTTATGATACATTTGTACAGCAGATTCATAACCAGACGATCCCTTGTCTTTAAGGGAGCAGTTTCCCCAGTTTATTCTAATAATAAGAAATATATATGCACATCATCCTCTAGGAGTTACCTTAGCTATAAATCATTTAAACTGGATTAGATATCTACACCAATTGAATTGTATTGATTTGATTTTTGATAGCCCATGGGATTAAATAAATAGATCGACATTTGGAGGTTCCTGTGAGTGTTGAAGCATCAAAAAAAAACCGTAGATAATAGAGGTAGAAATTAGGAACAGGGAAAGTATTATTATGTAAGCAAATTGGCCCAGACAATACACTGCTCACAAAGTACTTACTGTATTTTTTGGAGTATAAGACACACCTTTCCCCCCCCCAAAAAAAGAGGGTGAAAATCTGGGTGCGTCTTATACTCTGAATGTAGCCCCGCCCAGCTTCTCAAATGGAGGTTTCAGAGGCTGAAAAAAGCATCAGAAAAGAAGCTTCAGAAAAGAAGCCCCCAAACAGAGCTTCAGAGCCTTTTTTCCCTCAAATGTCAGGTTTATCTTTGCACTAAGAGAATATCTTAACCCCAAGGTGCTAAGATTCTCTAAAAGCTTCCTTCAAATCAAACTGTCATAAAGAACCAGGAATTTCCGTTCTTTCACAGCTGCTATGCACTTAGAAATGAACGTACTGTCTGCTTTTTCGATACTTTATACCTTGTTAATTCACATGTTCAAGCAACAGCAAGGTATTTTAACTAGGCTAGTTTGAATTATGAGGAAGATGCTGTTTAAATGCAATCCTTTGCATACTTAGAATTAGCAAGTCAGGGTTTTCAAGGCTTCTTATATTTATCTTTAATGGTTCTGTTATGAAGGAAAATTGAAGAAAATTCTGCTTCTTGTCCTTTGTTAAAGCTAAATTCTGTTTCTTGTCCTTTGTTAAAGATAATAAGTCCCTATCTTAACTTTTCCTAACTGTTTGGGCCAGTGGTGGAATTCAATTTTTTTTACTACCGATTCTGTGGGCGTGGCTTGGTTGGCATGACGTGGTGTGGCTTGGTGGGTG